GATATTCACCGATTTCAGTGTGTAATTTTAAAATGACGAATGAAAATTCTTCTTATATTCAGTCCTTCCCTGTTATTTTTACGGGAAGTCAAACTGATGACAAACTTTGTCCGAAAAACTTAAAGCCATACTAAAAAGTGCTTCAGTTCTCTGGGCCTGATTATAATGAAATGCTAGTGACATTAGTTCAGGAGTGACGTACCGTAAATCATCCTGTTTATCACCTTGTATTTTTCTAAAAGTTTAAAGGAAATAAAATTACTCTACTATAAAGTGCATACTGCACTTATTTTTGCTATTCATCATTTGAATTTTAACTAATCACTATAGTGATCACTATTATATTCAGTGTAGCACTATTAAAACATGCAACTCTTGGGGAGTTTGCTCTAGTCTACATTTAATTTTATTCTTTGTACAGTGAACAATTGTGGAATTGTCTAAGAACGTCTATACAAAATGATTTCCTATTTTCGCAAGGAAACCGGAAATAGCAGTTACTTGTAATAGAGAGGCATGTATATAAGCTTGCAAGAAATGTTACAATGATTTCGTGTATGACAAAAGGCAGCTGGTCGAAATTGCATAGAGCTCTACCAGGAGCGTTGTAAAAAATCTGGTTCTAGCCATCATTACTTATACCCTAATCCTCCGATTTTGTATTGGTCATAAAATATAATATAACATCAGGTCCGGATAAAGACTTTTTAATGAACAAGCAAACAGTTGTCTCACGACACCCCCACAACCCCAATACCAAACCCTGTCTGTAGTATTCATATCCTCGTCCAGCAAACTGACTATCAAAAGTTGATTTCCAATGACTCCGCGGAGAAAATTTAAGTTTTTTATTTGAAAACGTAGAAGTAATGAGAGATAATTAAAACAACAACATCAACAAAAGAAGAATTGCAGCTTAATCAATTGATTTCAAACAACCAAAATGTAATCGTCCTGAAATGATTTATATATAAAATTTTTAACCCTTTGCATTACAGTCATAAATTATATAGAGCAACCTTTCAAAATGGAAATTAGCTCTGGTAATTAAGTAATCAAATCCAGTATTGAGGAATCAACTGCGTACTTAAAATATTTTGTTCTTCTTGTTCTTGCTATTCTTTGGTACTATAATGTCCATTACATACATGGTGGAGGTGTAATAGTAACATCCAAGCTACTAAATCCATCCATGAGAACAGTGACAATGTGAAAAATAGTGAAAACAAAAACCGTTGCTTAATGAGATTAAATTCCTGGTATGTGAATATCTTAATATGTACATAATAAGGAAACAATAGAGTTAGCAGGTACTTCGCTGATTCTTCATTGCTGTTTGTTAAAAGAATAAATGCTTTGTATCACCAAGGAATGTATTTCAAATAATCACAAGGTACTCACTGTGCATGTTTGTTGGTACAGAATACCATTCAACAATGGGTCTGTAGTGGGGCGGGAATTCAGCAAATATTGCAAATGGTGATACAAGAATGAAATTTTCAAGAAATCATCTTTAGACCATCTAGATTTCAAATGTGAAGTGGGCCCAAAATATCTCTGCTCATTTAAGATGGCCGCCATTTTCAAAATGGCCGTCATATAAATTTGACGTACATAATAGCTCATATATATAGACCTGAAACTTACTCCAAAGCATGTATTAAGTTTCTCCTTCACAAAAATTCCGTTTTCATACCTCATCGCAATCCAAGATGGCGTCCAGTATTGCTGTCGATTTTATGCAAAACTGTTATATCATTTTTATCCATTAATTTGTAGCACAAATTACGCCTATTTTCATAAAAAAGGTGTTTAAACATAACAGAAATAATCAAATTTTATGTTAATCACAATAAAAGCAAAGTTTTTCTGTCCGAAAAATATCTTCAAAAATGCCCTCCGGAAAAATATCCCAATTTTTTGCATGTTTCTATGATTTGGTTTTCTAAATCACATGTGCAAAATTAAAAAAAAAATGTTTCTATATTGCTTATATTGTATTTGACATTTAATTAACACTAGGTGCTTATTGTAAAAATGTAAGAAAAACATAATATCTGTTGGTTTTATAATTTGTCAAAGTGGGTGGGGTAAATTTATCCGATAATTGTAAAATCTTATGCATTGAAGGTATTTTTGTATTTTCCCTCAGGTCAAGTGGGTGAGCTAAAATATCAATAATTGCACATACAGTCGTGTGTATACGTACATTCATTGCATTGTATTACTTGTTTCAATATCTTTGATATTATCTATTAATTGTTTATTGTAAATATATATAAGAAGACAACAAATCAACGAAACGTGTTTTGGATAATAAACATGTACATGAATGTAAGGTATAAAGGTAGTCCATTAACGCATATTATTAACTCCTTCACAATTTCATTTTAAAAATATGAAAAATGGCTTTAAAGCGAACACAGTGTGAGTATGCTTTTTGCATTCAATATCTAAAAACAGTAAAAATAAGGCTATACTGTCACATTATCCGATCTTTGTGTAGTGAAACAGATATATCAATCATTGTTTGACCCACATCAGTTAAAATATAAACTAAATACATGCATTATAATTATTCATATCTCTTTTTTTCCTTTCAATAAGATGACCCTAGATCACTAACCTAAGATCCATTGTTTGAAAAAGGTCACAGTTCTTCAACAAAGGTAAGTAGTAAGATCATATTGGGCGTATTAATTTTGTCATAACATACATGATTTGTGAAGTATTTTGTATTAGGTTGCCTTAGTTTTTCAGAATTGTATCACACGGGAGGATTTAAGTAATTATATTCCTGTATAAGTCTATGCAAATTTAAGTGATACCCATTATCATACAAATTTATGCATTTTATATCATACTTACATCCCAGATATCTTACTTCTAGTCATAGTGATTTAACACTGGAAGTTTTTTTTTATATTTTCCTATACAAATCTATAAACAAGGGTGGCTCTATGAGCATGATTCATTCAATATGTTAAAGACACAAGGTGATTCTACATGCTTAGTATCTATGCTCTGCACATTTTGGTTTTTTTTTAATTCTGCTTAGCAATGCTTGCATAAAAATGACGTAATAATTATTTCTTGTAGCAAAGAAAATACCCATTTTGTAAACATTGAAATTACATTATAGCATATTGATATTGATGGTTTTTCAAAGTAAGACTTTAAGATGTCTCTTTTACTTGTTTTATGTTTGACTTTATAAATTTTGTTATCATTAACAAATCAACCTAAAAGTAAAAGAACTTTCCTCATTCCTGTACATTTTATTTTAGTACTAGTTCATGGCAGGGTCTTTCAAATAGAAAGACCCTGTTCATGGTGACAAAACTATATCCCCTACATTTTATCCTAGTGCTATCCTTAAAATCTTATTTTAGAATGGTAAGAACTATCCTTAACATTTTATCCTGTAATGGTTAGAAGTGTCCTTTACATTTTGTTTTAGAATGAATAATGAGATTCACCTATTTCAGTTTGTAATTTTAAAATGACCAATAAAATTTCTTCTTATATTCAGTCCTTTCCTGTTAACTTTACAGGAAGCCAAACTGATAACAGACGGGCTTTGTCCGAAAAAAATGATACTCCTGATACGATATGATCTTTATTATTTAAGGGGAAAATGAAATATGAATAATCTTTGAGATACAGTTAGTTTATATTTCATATCATAAGCAACTATATGTTGGTCGAGTGCGATAATATAAAAAGCACCCCCTAAATCGTGTAAATAAACACAATACATTTTAATATTATTGGACAGGTCAACAGACCTCTCCACATTCCTGGCGGCATACATTTTTGCATATCAAATTGAAGCGAATGCATCGCTTTAAATCATTAGGTTCAGTCTACAAACATCGGTAGAATGAAAAATCGGAAAATTAATATCATTTACGTTTACGTTACTTAATAACACTACGAGCACTTGTTCATTCCGTTTTTTAATCCTGTAAACTGCATAAATCGATTATTGTTTACAGAAAAGCGTTTTATTATTATTTGTTCCAAAAATTATTAACAGTGAACATTACTGTATACATGTAGCTTAATTATATCACCATGTACTATTATACGAAAATTTGCTGCTCCCTTAATTTATGAACCGGGATGACTTATTATAATAAGTTACGCATCGGAAATTTTTTTTGGATCAAGTTTGATTATATATATTTTTTATTGTAAATCTAGGACTTAAATTTTTTGATTAACATATACTTAATGCAAGTTTTGGAAAATATCTGGTCACTTTATTAAATTATGCAAAAATATCTCCAAATAAACAAATCTTCAACAGTTGCAAAAAGACTTCTCACATGCTTCTTTTTAAAGAAGCAAACTTGTCGTTAATATTGGTTATTTGATAGAATTTCAAGTTCCTGTGATATATTCTAATGCATATTTTGATGTGAAATAGGGCCCACTATTTTTGCAATTAACGGATAAAATCAGAGACATAGATATCTATGTCTCTGATAATATTAGTTAAAATACACCAAAACAACACATATTTTTTACACAACCTCGTTTGTTTGTTTTTAGGTTTATTTTAGCTCGGCGCCGGAAATTCCATATGTCCGAGATCTCAGCGTCCATGCCGGTCCACTCTAGTAGTCTCATCGGGGACGTCTTTTTCATGCCGATCTTCCTAAGTCCTGTTCTTCGTTCGGTGGAGGAAAGACATTACCGGAAAAGCATCAAGTTCCGTGACGGCTGCAAACAGGCGGTTGACATAAAACGGCTCTTGTTAGCGCCACCCTCCAGAGTTAGTCACGACAGGTCAACCAATCACCTCTGGTACTTAAGATGATTTGACCTTGACCTGCCGTGTGCCTTCTCCGCGACGTGCACGCCTCTGGAGGGATTTGGAGAAGACACAACCTCTAAAACTGAAGGAAAGCAAAAATACCTTAATGTAATAAAATACAAGAGCCGGACCAAAATATTCCGGAATATCCGGATTGGTACGATACATTACGGTATTTAAATTTTCCAGAGAGGGCGCCAGAGGTCGTACAAAGCCCGCATTGCCGCCTGTTTAAGCGCAAAGAATCGTTTGGTGGATATTGGTAATTCCGTTTATTTCCGTATAATAATCGATTCATAATTTGTTTATTCCATTGCATACTTAATTATTCTGTTTAATGATTAAAATGTGCATTAAACCAACAGCATACAGAGGGAAAATATGTGCATATATTTTACGATTCTACGTTTTATCAAAAATTTGCACGAAAACGTTTTCCGCCATTTTGTGTGTTTTTATTTCTTTGGCTCTGTTTCCTGTAAAGTAATAAACCGGTATATTTTTAAGTTCTTGAACACTCTGACATTGTATTTAGACAGTTGAGAGTGACATATTTTAAAAGTGTAAGAAGAGGAGGTTCTCTTTCACTTTGGCGATGACAAATTTACCTAATCAAGGGAGGTAATCACCACGGAAATCAAATCACATGAAGAACTCTTATCTGTTTATTGTAAGATGTGAAGGCTCTCATATCGAGTTATTATTCGAAATTATAATTTTACCCCTTTTAAAGTGAAACATAATGTGTAAAATAAATCTTTGGAAAAAGGCTGTTTTGGTCCAGTTTCTTACGCTAACTCACTGTATTATCAATGGAAGCGACTAGCCATACGGGCCGAGGCTAGCCAAAAGTTCAAGCGTTACGTGAGTCACGTACGACTAGCCAGGACTCACTGTATTGTCTAGCCGTACAGCACTTTTCAAACTTAATATGGTCCAAGTCGAACATGCATATGTTATTTTGTGCCTCATGATATGATTTGTTGTTTTATTTGTTTGAAAGATGAATTTTTGTTTATTAAGCACATGGATGGAATAAATAATGATCGGAGTGGAATAAATAAAAAGAACATTGGAAAAAAAACGGTCAAAAGCAAAAATAATTGTATAATTTTCAAATACAGTAGATAAATATCGAACATGAAAGCACAATCAATTAATAAGCCTTAATTAAAGCCTACCCAGGGACTGACAATAGAATTTTAAAATGCGTTTCACAGAACATATAAACTTTCCTTAATGATGGACAATCTTCTATACCATCGGTAATTGACGCAATTATCAGAGCCCAACAACAATTTTTCATTTTAAAGGTGTCAAAAATTAAACTTAATGAAACAAAAAGGGATTATCATCAAAATTTTGTAAACTTTTTCAATTGATGTTATTTAACTGCGACCAAACGCCATTATTTCTAAACGTCTTGAGACGACAAAGATCGATATTCGTACTCTTTCTGTAGCCAACACGCAATTTATCTCTAAAATGTAAACATACGAAGACAATGTCTGTTTCTTGGTTAAAATCCTCGCTTAAAGTCACAAAATAACATGCATTTTCGACTTCCATCTAATTTTGAAAATGCCGTACGGCTAGCCAATACAGTGTGTCCTTGCTAGTCGTACGTGACTCGCGTACAGTTAGAACTTTTGGCTAGCCATACGGCTAGCCACTTCCTTTATCAATCTTCTGTTGATCGTTATTGTGACAAAGTAGTTGAAGAGGCGAAATGTAGCTGGCCAGACTTTTTGTCTATATCTCTTTCTTTTGACTTATCCAACCTCTTCTTACTTTCTATCATTTCTTGTATATTTCTTTTTCTTGACCTAGCACCACCTGTCACGTAATAATCAAGTGTGATTGCGCCAATGTACGATGTAGATGACTAATGTCAATCCCCTTGCGGGGATGAAGACATGTATCTGAGAGTGCACATTATATAAAGGACCTAATTAAGTCTGCTATATATCTTCATCCAGTCAGTTATAATGTTTAATGAAAAGTTTATGAACTGAAAGGTTTTGTTAAATTTTTGAGAAAGTATGATTGAAAAAAATTGAAATTTCAGTTTGCCAATTACTCACTGATAATCAACCATGGAAGACTCTGATGAATTCAAATGGGCTGTAAAAGTTGTTATAAAACGACAAATGAGAGATCTGGTAAGTCCACAATATTATGTTAGCAGCATCATTATAATGGAACATCCTTTACTGAAATGTTTTAACATGATTTTATTATTAATGTAATGAGAATTATAAAAAATTCTTATATATCAGATTTTTCATACTTTGTTCATCTTGATCACTGCTTTGATTTTGTCTTTAGGTAAGACTGCATTTGAAAAATTTAAGGATATGTTTAGAAGGAAACTGGATGATGTTTGGATTTGGATCTAAAGTGACATTACAATATATCATCTTCTTTTCATTATTAATTTATTTACATTGTTGAAAAATTCCAAAGCATGAATTTCATTATGTAGAATAATTAGACAATGCAAAAATATCTATATATAGTTTAATTACAATGTACATACATAAATGATAAAATTTACTTGAATGGCTGTTTGTAAAGGGAAAGGAATCATAATTATTGATAATTTTTGTGTCGCCTTGAAAAGGTGGCGGCGTTTGTGTCGGCGTCGTCGGCGTCCCCTAAAGCTTGTCCGGAGCATAACTCAGTCACTATAAGTCTGATTGACTTCAAACTTGGTATGCATGCTTCTTTCAATAACCCGAAGTGCAGTGCACAAGGACCGGTACTCTGCAGTTCTTATTTTTTGAGTTATTGCCCTTTGTTAATTTTCATACTTTAATTTTGTCCGGGCCATTTCTCTTCAACTAAAAAAGCTATGGACTTGAAACTTCATAGGATGATAGATCTCATTAAGAAGAAGTGCAGTGCACAAGAACCAGTACTCTGCACTTCCTAATTTTTGAGTTATTGCCCTTTGTTAATTTTCATACTTTATTTTTGTCCGGGCCATTTCTCCTAATGTATAAAAGCCATGGACTTGAAACTTCATAGGATGATAGGTCTCATTAAGAAGAAGTGCAGTGCACAAGAACTGGTACTCTGCATTTCTTATTTTTTGAGTTATTGCCCTTTGTTTATTTTCATACTTTAATTTTGTCCGGGCCATTTCTCCTTAAGTATAAAAGCTATGGACTTGAAACTTCATAGGATGATAGATCTCATTATTTAGAAGTGCAGTGCACAAGAATCGGTACTCTGCATTTCTTAATTTTTGAGTTATGGCCCTTTGTTAATTTTCATACTTAATTTTTGTCCAGGCCATTTCTCTGAAAGTATAAAAGTTATGGACTTGAAACTTCATAGGATGATAGATCTCATTAAAAAGAAGTGCAGTGCATAAGAACTGATACCCTGCATTTCTTATTTTTCAGTTATTGCCCTTTGTTAATTTTCTTACTTTATTTTTGTCCTGGTCATTTCTCCTCAAGTATGAAAGCTATGGACTTGAAACATCATTGAATGATAGATCTTATTGATAAGAAGTGCAGTGTACAGAAACTGCTGCTCTGCACTTATTATTTTTTTAGTTATTGCCCTTTGTTATTTTTCATATTTCATTTTTGTCCTGGCCATTTCCCCTAAACTACATTGTTCACAAGGCGACACATCCGACTCGCGGAGTTCTAGTTTTTCCTAATGAGAGCGCATTAGCTTTTATACAAACATTAAATTCAAATAACTGTGAAGTTGAAGATTTATATATTGTACTATTTATTATATAACAGATGGAACAGTTACGAGAGCGTGGCGAGGAGATAGCAATATTGACTGTTAATTTAGATGACAACACATGTTCACATTTTGGGTCACCTAGTGGTGAATGGTTTGTTTCTGAACAGAAGAACCTTGCTCAAAACTTTCTCAAGTTCTGTAAAGTCAAAGGTAAAAGTAAGTATTTTACATATAATGCACATGTTTTTCATGAAAAGTGTATTTAAATTTCATATTATTACTATGTCTGCAAGATAAATTTCTGCGCATTTTAACAAACTTGCAGTTATTTTCTGTGGATAGTGCATGTTGTAAATTTAACAATTTTATTATTATAACAAGTTTTCAGACTTCCCGAAAGTTGAAAAAAACTGTCAGACATTTGGTCTGACAAACCATGAAAATCTGCCGGACCGAAACAAAATCTGTCGGACCAAATAAAATTGATCAAAATCAAAGAAAAACTTGTGTTTGTATTTCTTAGACACTTTTTGTTTTTTATTTTTTCGCCGTAAAAATCGGCACAATCCGTACAGCGCATTTTCATCTCCTCCCTGTCATACACCAATGATTCGTGGTTCTGCTTCCAGTTTTCATTAAATTTTGTCTCAGGTCTATTCTTTTCATCCTTTTATTGCTGTTCTGCGCACTCTTCTGACGTAGATTTTGGTTTTTTCCTAGGTTTGGCATCTGTAGCGACGCCATTTTGTGTACATGCGGCTTGGATAAAAGCCGGACAGTCGGACCGATCCGGAATAAAAAATTGTCTGTCCTGATCAAAATTTATCAGACATGTCCGTCGGACCGACGTATTTCAGGAAGTCTGAGTTTTATGTTTTTCATAAAAATAAACACAAAATTTGAGACATGCTGCTTAAGAAATGTTTGTGTTTAGAAGAAAAAAAGTGACTTATTCTTCATTTAACTATAGAGAAGTTTTTAGAAAGGGCCAAAGTCTTAAAATAACAAGTAACAATGATATATATAAAAAAAGTTATAAGTGCTGCAGTTAGGGTTTGAACTTAAAACCCCTAATGAAGTCTGTGTTCTTGTTAAAAACAAACGCATGAATACTTCTCAGAAAGAATGTAATGTTGAAAAGAGTGTTTTACCTAAAAATAGATTAGCCTGAGAAAGAGTGTGTTTTTTTGGCAAATAAAGCCAGATATTTCTAAAAGAATATGCAATAATGTAGGGTTTTTTAAAAAAAAAAAACAAAAAAAACTATTTTGTATATTATCTGTTTAAACTTTAACAGAAGGCAGCCAAAATACAGACACACACATAAGCACTGGTACGTTTTCAAGTCCAAGATCAGCTGTAAAACAACGGACAGCACAATCTGCAGGTGAAAGGATTTTTTAAAATTAAAGTTTTGTTTAAATTAAACATTTTTTATACTTATAAATTTGGAGTAATTGTGCAACATTTTGTCAGATGTCATTCAGCCCACTTAGGTCAATAGGGAAAGCATCATATTAGTAATTTAATAAAGCTGGTTTGAGCGTTGGGTGTAGCGAAATTTCTCCATGTCAATTCATCTTGAACATTGAGTTCAATGGTCATTTGTCTCTCACCCCTGATTAAAAAGTCATGTGAGAGTGTTAGTAGATCACTAACACAGAAATTGGTAACACTGGCTAGTTCCGAAGGAAAGCCTGTTTGGTGAAAGAACCACAGAGATATAACCAAAATTTTTGTTAAAATCAGCAACGAAATACAAAGAAACAGATGTTGACTTTCATAACTGTCGAGTTACTAGAATGATCTGCTGTTAAGAATGAAGAGGTTTCTATGAATATTATTTGTGTGTTTAATTGATAACTGGTAGCTTATTGCTTAAGTGTCTGATCTTTAAGAGTTTTTTTATAAAATATTGGGAGATTGATAGTCATACAAACATTATAAAAAAACAATTAAATTTTTTGTTACAGGTGCCCCTACATTAACAGTGACTGTACCGAAACAGTTGGCTGGAGATGTAACGGAGGAGGAGCTTGCTTCTCTAGTAGGAAGGATAGTAGCCTCTCAGTTGGCTGTTCAGGAGAAAGGTGAGAGTAAAATATGACACACTTGGTTAATATTGCATTGGTTTACTGTTAAAAATGCTTCAAAGGTGAGAAAAAGACTAATGTGCACGATAGAAGGTTTCTCAAATTCTTTTAATTTCTTATCTAGAACGTACAATCTGACTGCAACTCTTAGGAAGTACTCATAATAGATTAATTTGAAGATTTGACAAACAAAATTATATTTCAGGCAAGTACATGTATGCTTTCATTAACTTGTTTTAAGGTGATGGCTCTAGCAGTGGTACAAAGTTTGATTTACTGGTTGAAGCTGCAAACAATGCTAAAAAGAATCGAGGAACAAGCTCTGTGGTATCTACACCATCGTCAAGATCTACAAGGTATGTAGTGATGTGAATCTTTTCCACCTCAAAAAATGTATATATTCAATTACATGAATTTCTTTTTAGTCCCCTACCGGTTTAACCCTCTGTCTGTCAGTCCGTCCGTCCACAAAACAACGCAAAAAGTACTGAAAATATTTTTATGAAACTTGATTTATGGATAGATGGCAGTAAGGAGATTATGCATGTCTTTTTTTTCTTCCTATGTTGAAAATTCTGGTTGCTATGGCAACAAATAGTCTGACAATATGGCAAATTTAACACATAAACTGGATCCAGTGATAACTCAAAAAGTACTGAAAATATTTTTATGAAACTTGAAATATGGGTAGCTGGCAGTCTGGAGATTATGCACATCTTTTTCTTTTCTTCCTATGTTGAAAATTCTGGTTGCTATGGCAACAAATAGCCTGAATTTCAAGATTTCTGATTTAATTTTTCAGCTTTTTCACTAAAAGTTCTTTATTTCTTAAGGTGTTTACTTCAAACTTTACATATAAGTTTCTGGTCATCAACCACATCATGTGTGACAAGGTTTACAACTCTAGCACAAAAATTAAGAAATAATATATCCCAAACTGTGATTTTATTGCTCAATAACATCACTGTTTGGAGTTCGGATGGGGGGAATTATATCACGAGGGCGTAGCCCGAGTGATATAATGATGCGCATCCGAACGACAAACAGTGATGTTATCAAGCAATAAAATCACTGATTTGGATATATTATTTCGATTCTAACACGACATCAACAAATAAATGCAGCCGTACATGATAATTAGCTAAATTACGCCTGATTTGTTTCCGTACTTATTGTCAGCGCGTCACTTTTTAGTGGTTACGTCACGTGTATAATGATTACGTCACATGTCTAAATATAGAACGTCAAACAGTGATTTTATAGCATAATAACACACACTTTCGGCAGACTTCCCGAAAGTTGAAAAAAACTGTCAGACATTCGGTCTGACAAACCATGAAAATCTGCCGGACCGAAACAAAATCTGTCGGACCAAATAAAATTGATCAAAATCAAAGAAAAACTTGTGTTTGTATTTCTAAGACACTGTTTTTTATTTTTTCGCCGTAAAAATCGGCACAATCCGTACAGCGCATTTTCATCTCCTCCCTGTCATACACCAATGATTCATGGTTCTGCTTTCATTTTTCATTAAATTTTGTCTCAGGTCTATTCTTTTCATCCTTTTATTGCTGTTCTGCGCACTCTTCTGGCGTAGATTTTCGTTTTCCCCAGGTTTTGCACCTTTAGCGACGCCATTTTGTATACATGCGGCTTGGATAAAAGCCGGACAGTTGGACCGATCCGGAATAAAAAATTGTCGGACCTGATCAAAATTTATCGGACATGTCCGTCGGACCGACGTATTTCGGGAAGTCTGTTCGGTTCTTCTATGTTCAATAGGGAAAAATGCGGGTCGTGTTAGAATTATCAGTATTACCTCCCTTGAACTTAGAATTTTATGGAAAAAAATGTTGTCTTTTTTAGATAACTTCTTTATTTCCTAATGTTTCTACTTCAAACTTCATATGTATGTTTCTTATTATCACTCAACATTTTTGAGAAGGTTAAATACTCTAGCAAGACTATTTCCAGAATTATGTCCCCTTTGAACTTAGATTTTTTATTGAGAAATTTGTATTTTTCACTCAAACTTCTTCATTCCTTATAGGATTTACTTTAAAATCCCACATCGTAATAATATGACAAGGTTGTATAAACATAATTTCCTTACTAGGCAGCGAAACTTAACACATTACTGTGATATAGACAAACTTAGAACTCAAAAGATTTAAGTTCATTTATGTCATTCATTCACTGGTAAAATTGAATGGCCAATGGCCCATCAGAATGTTGCTGGGGTTCTAACCGGTAGGGGACTTATGGATTGCTTGCAATACTATGATAATTGCTTGTGTTTAATAATTAGGCCAGTTGATTTGATTATTATTCCCCCACAAACGAAGTTTGGGGGGGGGGTACATAGGAGTCAGTCGGTCAGTCCACATCATGGTTTCCGGACGATAACTAGAGTTTGGAGTGAGGTATTGTAATCAAACTTGGTATATAGCAACCTTTTGTGGAAACTCCGGTTGGTATTGCATTTGGACCCCCTGGGGTCAAGGTCAATGTTACTAAAAATAGATAAATGGTTACCTGACAAAAACTTAAGTTAGGAATGAGATATTGTAATCAAACTTGGTACAGTGAAAGTTGAGAAAACCGGACGGCTTTCGGACTGAGGATTTGTCCGATTTTCTCAGCGGTACGGTATTCTCAATGTCCCCTTCAGCTGTTCAGGATCTTATATTATAACTGAGCTATGACTTACAAAGGATGCTGTATATTTGCATTTTCATAATAATGAGTAAGTATATTGCTAAATAAAGAAATGATAATAATACAAGAAAATATGTTTTAATCGTTTTTGTCCCATTATTGCATATAAATACAATAAAAGTTTGGATTTAAATGAACAGCAGTTACCTCATAACGATCAAGTCTGAGTATATCCGCATATGTTTACATTTGGGTAATGGATAATAATTTAACGAACATAGTTTACTTTGTTTGTTTATAATAATAACATATTGGTCAGATTTTTAAAGTAGGTCTCGGCAAAATTTCTTTGTCTTTAATTAATTTAACTTTGTCACTTGTAGAATGCTCTCGTCGAATTCTTTTCGGGCATGGAATAGAACTTAGCGCCGATAAATGTCGTTTCCATTGCGTTGTCATTTTAGGAAATGAATATACAAAAAGCAACACAGTAGAAAAATACTCTATTTTTTATTCATACTGATTTTAACTGATCAATTCCTCGTGCATTTGGAATTCTTATAAAACGGTAACATCTATACCTTACAATAAATCAAACTGTGAAAAAAGACATTATAAACAAATCAGACAATCATTGTTCCGTTACCGCTCAGATAGCGTATTAGACACAACCAATTGATAAGTACAAAAGGTTATTCACACCTGTGTCATCCGGTATTGTCGGGGTAATTGTCTATATAATTGACTTTGTAGTCCCCAATCAACCGTCTGTTATTCGGTTTTTACAGATTCCGGTATTGTCAATGTTTATAAAATAGTTTAAAGAAGGGAAAATTTGGGACTGAATTATTCGTCCGGTATTTAGAGAGTTTTTCTCAGCATCTGGTTTCTCAAATTTCACTGTATATAGCAAGCTTATATGAAGACTCCGGTTGGTATTGCATCTAGACCCCCTGGGGTCAAGGTCACCGTTACTAAAAATAGAAAAATGGTTTCCGGTCAATAACTAAAGTTAGGAATGAGATATTGTAATCAAACTTGGTATATAGCAAGCTTTTATGAAGACCCCAGATGGTATTGCATCTGGACCCCCTGGGGCCAAGGTCAAGGTCATCTTACTAAAAATAGAAAAATGGTTTCCGGACAATAACTAAAGTTAGGAATGAGATATTGAAATCAACCTTGGTGTACAGCAACCTTGTATGGAAACCCCGGTTTGTATTGCATTTGGACCCCCTGGGGTCAAGGTCACCATTTCTAAAAATAGAAAAATGGTTTTTGGACAATAACTAGAGTTAGGTATGAGATATTGTTATCAAACTTGGTGTTTAGCAAGCTTACATGAAGACTGTGCTTGGTATTGCATTTGGACTCCCTGGGTTCAAGGTACACTAAAAATAGAAAAATGGTTTCCCGACAATTACTAGGGTTAGGAATGAGATATTGTTATCAAACTTGGTGTATTATAGCAAGCTTATATCAAGATCCTAGTTGAGATTGCAATAAATTGAAATAATTCTTTGTACACAGTGCTGATGATACTTTATTTACTGTAGGTTGAGTTCAAATTTTTCTTCAGACAACTTATTTTTCAAAAGTCAAAGTTGCTGGTGGGGGTATTTATCACCTTCAGTGATAGGTCTAGTTTAAATACCTATTATGTTTTTTGTTTTGTCATGATATGTATACTTTTGTTGTTTCTCATAGGAAAAGGAAAATGTCACAGAGATATCGTGAAGGTATTAGCAGCTTAAAGAAAGGCAAAAAGTCAGGTATGTTGTCAAAGCAGAATTTATGATAGAACCTTTTGAGGACTTATTCAGATTTCTTTGCTACTAATATTAGCATTTACATTTCATTTGAAATGAAAAGACTGTCTCATGTGCTATTTATGTATTGTAATAGAAATACATAGCTTTATATTATCTTGAAAAAATCCAAACTTAACAAGATATGTTTGTAAAACATGTATGCCCCCTATCAGCAGCCAATTAGTCATGTGATAAGGTTATTATGCATGACTTCTGACCCAGTGATCAAACAATTAATAAGGGTTATAAAGTATCTACTGGTCATGATCTTGACCTTTGACCCCTTGACCCAAAACTAAATAGGGGTCATCTGCTGGTCACGACCAATCATCAAACAAAGTTTGAAGTTCCTAGGCCTAGGCGTTTTTAGTAAATTGATCAGAAACCGTTTTTACCTACAAGGTCAATGTGACCTTGACCTTTGACCCCTTGACCCCAAATCAATAGGGGTCATCTGCTGGTCATGACCAATCACCATGCCAAGTTTGAAGTTCTTAGGCCTAAGGGTTCTCTTATTATTGATCGGAAACCGTTTTAACATACAAGGTCAATGTGACCTTGACCTTTGACCCCAAAATCAATAGGGGTCATCTGCTGGTCATGACCAAATCACCATGCCAAGTTTGAAGTTTCTAGCCGAAGCGTTCTTTAGTTATTGATCAGAAACCGTTTTTACTTACAAGGTCATTGTGACCTTGACCTTTGACCCCTTGATCCAAAAATCAATAGGAGTAATCTGCTGGTCATGACAAATCACCATACCAAGTTTGAAGTTCCTAGGCCTAAGCGTTCTTGAATTATGATCAGAAACCGTTTTTACTTAAAAGGTCAATGTGACCTTGACCTTTGACCCCTTCACCTAAAACTCAATAGGGGTCGTCTGCTGGTCATGACCAATCATCACACAAAGTTTGAAGTTCCTAGGCCTAAGCGTTTTTAGTTAATTGATCGGAAACCGTTTTTACCTACAAGGTCAATGTGACCTTGACCTTTGACCCTTGACCCCAAAATCAATAGGTCATCTGCTGGTCATGACCAATCACCATACCAAGTTTGAAGTTCCTAGGCATAAGGGTTCTTAAGTTATTGATCGGAAAGCATTTTTACGTACAAGGTCAATGTGACCTTGCCCTTTAACCCCTTAACCCAAAATCAATAGGGGTCATCTGCTTGTCATGACCAATCACCATACCAAGTTTGAAGTTCCTAAGCCTAAGGGTTCTTTAGTTATTGATCAGAAACCGTTTTTACCTAAGAGGTCAATGTGACCTTGACCTTTGACCCCTTGACCCCAAAATCAATAGGGGTCATCTACTGATCATGACCAATCACCATACCAAGTTTGAAGTTCCTAGGCCTTAGGGTTCTTTAGTTATTGATCGGAAACCGTTTTTGCTTACAAGGTCAATGTGACCTTGACCTTTGACCCCTTGACCCCAAAATCAATAGGGGTCATCTACTGATCATGACCAATCACCATACCAAGTTTGAAGTTCCTAGGCCTTAAGGTTCTTTAGTTATTGATCGGAAACCGTTTTTGCTTTTAAGGTCAATGTGACCTTGACCTTTGACCCCTTGACCCCAAAATCAATAGGGGTCATCTACTGATCATGACCAATCACCATACCAAGTTTGAAGTTCCTAGGCCTTAAGGTTCTTTAGTTATTGATCAGAAACTGTTTTTGCTTTCAAGGTCAATGTGACCTTGACCTTTGACCCTTGACTCCAAAATCAATAGGGGTCATCTACTGGTCATGACCAATCACCATACCAAGTTTGAAGTTCCTAGGCCTTAAGGTTCTTTAGTTATTGATCGGAAACCGTTTTTGCTTTCAAGGTCAATGTGACCTTGACCTTTGACCCCTTGACCCCAAAATCAATAGGGGTCATCTACTGGTCATGACCAATCACCATACCAAGTTTGAAGTTCCTAGGCCTTAAGGTTCTTTAGTTATTGATCGGAAACCGTTTTTGCTTTCAAGGTCAATGTGACCTTGACCTTTGACCCCTTGACCCAAAATCAATAGGGGTCATCTACTGGTCATGACCAATCACCATACCAAGTTTGAAGTTCCTAGGCCTTAAGGTTCTTTAGTTATTGATCGGAAACCGTTTTTGCTTTCAAGGTCAATGTGACCTTGACCTTTGACCCCTTGACCCCAAAATCAATAGGGGTCATCTACTGGTCATGACCAATCACCATACCAAGTTTGAAGTTCCTAGGCCTAAGGGTTCTTAAGTTATCACTCAGAAACCATTTGGTCTACAGACCGACGGACCGACAAGTGCAAAGCAATATACCCCCTTTTTTTCAAAATGGGGGCATAATTATATGCATTGCTTCCTTGTTTTTAATATTTATGTCCTTTTTTTTAAAGAAGGTAATATTGCTTTGCACGGGGCGGTTCGTGGCCGGGTGAATCGGTTGTTTCCTTTAAACTACTTCATGCTTCTCGCGCTGTGCGTTCAAATACTGTGAGGGACTTCCTATTCTTTCATACTAGGAAGCTGTCCAATTAGTTTTAAGAAATTTGGTGGTTCTACTCTGGGTACCTGATATATTGCACAGACAAGCACCTGAGACCTTCCTCTACCAGTAAAGCTTGAAAGTTGACCTTAAATGTGTAAATGTGACTAAAAACCAAAATCAAAGGGGGGGGGGAATTCAGTCTAAGCTTATCTATGCATTCTCTGATCAAGTTCTTTCAAACAATATTACAAACAAGCATGTTTTCTTTTGTGTAACAGTGACTGTATTATCCAAATAAAACAATTGAATAGCCAGGCAGCCTATATTTGCATAAAACTGTAAACACTGGAATTGTCTGTCTATATAGTGTTGTTAGATTTTTTGGCAAGTAAATTCAACATTTAATTTCTTGAAGCCCCAATATCAATAGATAACTTACTGTTTAATTAAGAATGATTGTTGTCATGGAGTAATTTTATGTTTCAGAGGAGGAGGATACTGGCAGTGAATATGAAACTGGTAAGATATTACCTGTGTTTGATGTTTTTTTCTCTTTCCTGGAAATAAAATACTTAGTTAAATTTCACATTCAAATTTGTTTCCTTTATTTTAATGATAACACAAAGTGGAATATCTAATAATATTAATCAAACAAGTATTTTAAACTCTTTATTTAACTTGTCTAAAAATTTTTTTTTTGGGGGTTTTTTTACGGGTATTTAAAAAGTGCTATTTTTTCATTTTGTCACTGTTAGTTTCAAATTTAGTAATATTTTCGCGTTTAAACCCTTTCAATGGAATGACCAAAAAATTTTACTTGGGATAAAAAATCTCCTAGATTATAAAATTACTTTGGAACTCTTTGAAAATTGAACGCTACGGATTCATTTCAAACAATATTCATAGAAAATTATGTGGGTCACATGGATTATTGATTATTTTTGCTAAATTAAAATAATATATAGTTATTTTAACTTTAACTTTGCTCTGACAATTTACATTTTGATGGGTATAATGTGACTAATAAATTTCTGTTTCTTTTCAGGACATGATGAAAATGTCATAACTAACATGTTAGCACAACTAAGTACAACCATTTTAAAAAGGTATGTATGACCAAAACAAACTTAAGTGTTGACTTCCAATCTGTATTATTAAGCTATTGTAATTAAAATTTAAAAACTTTTGTACTATATGATATTTTGCCTCCATGACGCAATGGTCATTGTAACAGTCTGCCTTCTAGTCTGCATGTAAGGAAACAAGCATATTGAAAATGAGTGGTTCAACATGTGTTCACTTGCTTTTTAACTCCCACTGTTTGACGTTCATACAAGGTTTTGTGATGATTGAAATGTAACTAAAATATGAAATGAATGATGTTGTAACTTGGAAATGAGTAAAGTTTTAAAAAGTAGTTTCTTATATGACCCAAACTAGTCTGTGTATAGGGTAGTACATTCTTAGTAACATTTTATAATAACATTGTAGGGTCAAGGTGAAAACATCAGAGGAAGTACCTGTCAGTATTGAGAAGTCTGTTCTAGCTAGCTCCGATCAACTGGAGAGTCTGGCTGTATTACTGATACAAGAAATTGATGAGATGGCTGGAGGTCTCCTTACTAAGGAAAAGCTTGTACAGGTATGACATTAAAATAAAGAGTAAAAGTTTGTATCATGTAAAGCAATGAAATTTTGTAGAATCTTTTAATAATGTAAGGCTGCCTTTTACACAGAGAATAGTTTTGAAATACCTATTATTATGAGAAAGATTTAATAAATAAAATCAGTTCTAATAGAATTGGGATCTTATTCTATAAAATTTCATTGTAAACTAAGTAAGTTAGATTGGTATCTCGTGAAATTTTTATCAAATTAATATTAAACATAATAATACATTGTAGTTTTCCTTGCCTAAAGAGGGCTACTGTGCTTTTTAATGACAAATGGTATTTCAAAAGTGAACTCTGTGTAGAGTTTGCCATACTTTATTTAAAGTTATTTTTGCACAATTTCATTGTAATACTTGTTAAAACACTTCAATGTGTTCTGCAAAGGTCTTGAAAAGCACAGTAGGCCAGAAAACAAATATGTCCTACTCCATTGTAAAATCAGTGGAGGGCATTTTACAAAATCTTAAATGAGCAGGCAATTTCAGGTGACAGTGATTCTAGATGAGGCTAATACAGAGAGTAAAGTAACAATTGAAGTGGAGGGCATTGGCACAGAAAGGGTGAAGAATGAAGATATGGACGACTCGGACATGGAGTACCTTGACCTTGATGGACATATAGACGAAGAAGATGATGAGGAGGATGATAGCTATATGGATTCGGCTGATCCAACATTTGAACCAAAAGCTTTTTCCACTCTGAAAAGGCCCAAGATTACAAGTATGATTAAAACAGGAGATATGGATTCTTCTAAGTTAATGTTAGACACACCTCAGACTCTGAAAAGAAAGCCAAAATCCAAAAAGCCTTTGTCAGAGACAATGCCAACACCTTGTGAACATTGTGGTATACATTTAGCTGGAAAAAGTAATCTGAAATCCCACATTAGACGAGTACACTTGAAGCAAAAGGACAAAAAGTGCACAATTTGTGGAAAGGGCTTCTGGGCTGCAACAGCAAGAGAGAGCCATATGCTTTCAGTGCATACAAGAAGATGTGAAACATGCCAGGAATATGTTGTTGAGTCAGTGCCCTGGGGCTCTGGGATGGATATGAGGATGAAAAGAGATGTAATCTGCACATGTGGTTCTATTGTTAGTATTTACAGCACATTCGGACGAAAGCGACAATATCTTCGAGATGATGAGCCCGATGAAGAAGGTAATCTTCCAGAACCAGAATCTAGAAGAAAATCAAATACAGGGACCAAATATGCTTGTGGTACATGTGGAAAGTTGTTCATGAAAAAATCGAATTGTGAAAGGCATTCACGTGCACATACTGACTATAAAGGAATTGAATGTGAAATTTGTGGTAGCCAGTTTTCATATGAATCTTCTCTTAAAAAACATTTGCAAACTGAGCATGGTATCACTAAGCATGTGTGTGAAATCTGCGGAAAGAACTACAGTAATGAAACTGCTCTTAAAGTACATTATGTGAAGTATCATGCTCAGGAGAACTTTACAATTGGAGAAAATGTTGTAATGATAGTTAAAGAGAAAGGAAATGACACAGCTGACCTTGAGCAGCAGATGGAAGAGATAATGGAAGGAGAGCAGGAGGTTGAAGAGATAGGGGAACACCAAAATGGACAAATAACTCAACTAGCTGATGGTACAAGTCTTGTGGTGAGTGAAAGTGGTCAGGTGGTTGTCACTCATGGAGAAGGTGGCCAAGTGACATTGACAACCGAGTCTGGTCAACCAGTAGGAGATTCAGAAGCAGCTAGGATTGTTCAGCAAGTTATTCATGATGGGCAAGTTGTAGCCCAAGAAGGAAATATGTCAATAATTATTAAACAATTACCAGTCGAAGAGCTACAATGATAAAATATTGGTAATAACCATTTTTAGTGATCATAATTTTCTTAATGAAATTTTCCTATTAACAATTTGTTACCAAATGATTGTTTATTAACACATTTAGATATGTGTAAAATCAGAATGACATGCTAGTTATTTATTACACTGTTCTGTGTTATTTATTGACTGAGTTAAAGCTTAATGATTGTATTGTAACATCAATAATTTTATTCCTTTGTGTCTGGCTTCATAATTAATTTATACATAAGTTGATAACATGTAGTTTATGAAACAGGAATAAATTTTACACAGTCATTGTAGTTAAAAGTTTAAAGCATATTTAAGAATTTGAGAGCTGTGTTATATATGTAGTAGCAGACAGGTTATTTAATTTATGTTATTGTTAGTCTTTTTCCTGTTTAAGATATTGTTTAGAAAAAATATAAATGGAATCTGAATAAAGGTGAAACTGTTGAGTAAAAGTTAATGAAATTGTTACATTGACCCTCCATATGTAATTAATCTTTCATTGTTTTTTTTTTTTTTTTTTTTTTCTTTACTATCTTGACATTATGTGCATTTATATTTGCTTTGTCCTGCAAATCTTCCTGACAGTTGGACATCCCATATTAAATGATTGTGTCAAAATTTGATTTTTGAGCTGTTTTTTTTTTTAAAGAAATTAACAAGTTTCTTACAATTTATGATAGGACATAGATTTTAACATAAACATATTCAAAATGGAAGTTCAGATATTTGTAGATTATTTTGTAATGAAAATCAGATCTCTGCTTAGAATTTCTGTAAAAGAGGTGTCTTTATTTTGTTTGAAAGTGTTTGGTGTACAAATCGTGTTATCAATAGAAAAGAAATGTAGTATTTCCATTTTGATTTTTTCCCCAATAATTTCTGCTCATTTTGTATCTATAGTGCATTATTTCATGTTTGTATATATTCAGTGAATACTGAGCATTAAATATTTCAAAATTTGTGGAGATTAAATTTTAAAAAACTTGAAGTCTTTGTGTATTTTTCAAGTTTGGTCTAATCTAACTATTAAATAGCTCTTCCTCACCAAATTCACTGTTAAAAGCTAAATCTTACGAAAAGAACAATACTGTAAATAAATGAAATATTTATTTATTATACCCCAACCAAATATAGTTTTGTTTGGGGTGGACTATATATGTATCACCTTGTCTTGTCCCATCTTGGGGAACCGGTAGATTTTAATTCTTGCCTTTGACTTGGTAAAAAATTTCAATTTGTGCCGCAGGTAGCTCAGCCTCAACTTTACAGGAATGTTGGTCAGCATGTGTAGTTGTGCACCTGGGGGTTTACTTAGGGATTTATTCTGTAATTGTAGAGAAATTGCTCTTGACTTCGTAAAAATTTGCAATATCAAGATTTAATATTTAAATTAGATGTCATTTTTATGCCATAAGCATGTAGGAGGAGTCTTGTAGAATTTCCTTTGTCATACTGTCCTGCTGTATGTCTGTAGACTGACAAAAATAGTGGACAGGGTTCGCACAGGTCTTGAAAAGTGCTTGAAAATGATCTCTGTCTTGAAAAGTGCTTGAATTGAAGGTGTACTTGAAAAAGGGCTTGATTTTGACAAAAAAATAAACTTTGAAAATTATGAATAAAAAAAGTCTAAGAATGGAAAAAATGTAAATTCTTGCTCAAGTTGCTCAGTTACATAAAGCAATGTTTGAAATGGCCATTGCAGAGTTTTGGATGTGAAAATGCAAAATTTGTCTTGAAAAAGTGCTTAAAGTTAGTTGACAGATTTCTTTTTGAACCCTGATGGAGTGTGGGGGCATCCAAGTCCTATAGATACTTTTCTAGTTTTACTTAGTTATCTCCCTTTTTCCTTTTCTCTTTTTTAAGTGACAGGGTTAATAATGGCAAGTCAGTGATACAATAAATAATTATGTTTATCGCATTTACTATGAGGCATAATTAATGATATACCATGAAAGAATTATACATGGATGTTGCTGGCAAGTGTGAGATTCAAGATTCTATATTACATATGTTCATATAGCAGATAACAAATTGTTGCAGAACAGAATATTGTTATCCATTATTTTAAGTCATTAGAACTTTATCAATATCACAATTTTTTTCAAGCAATATTTTTATAAGAATATTAATATAATACATTTATATTTTTTTCAAGCAATATTTGAAATACTTATGAAAAATGTGCCCACTGTGACCTATATACTTCAAAATAATGGTTATCAGATGATTATAATCATTTAACAAGTCAATTGATTTAATTATTGGTACACAGATGAAACATCTAAAAGTATAGGTCCTGTTCAAATTTAGCTTCAGACTACTTGTTTTTCAAGTAGTTAATGTGGCGGTAGGGGATATGAATCACCTTTAGTGATAGTTCTAGTATATTAATTCTTTTTTCTTTTTGAAAATATTGTTCTCAAAGAAGTACGCCTCAAGGTTCATGTTAATTTTCATAACATTTTTGGAAATGTATTTAGAAGTAAAATAATGTGAGGTGAACAAATAAAGTAATTTACATATTTATTGTAATCGGCACTTACAATCCACGAAAATTACCAAAAAGTGGTCAACATATGCAAAACAGCCCTTACTGTGTTAGTAACGTAGTAGAAATATGGTGATAAAATACTGCAAAGTCAGTGTTAAACCGCACATAACATGTAAATATAACTTGGATCTTAAATGTTTTTACCTTTCTTAAAAGTTTAGTGCATTTTCCTCAATATTAATTTTCTTGAAATATTTTGGATCATCTGAAGGCGTGCAGCTTTATAAAAACATAATATAAGTAAACAATAAACATCCAAATAAGTCATCAGAATTATTTTTGGTCATCTGACAATACTGTCAAAAAGAATGTAGAAACAAAGTTACAAATTTGTTTGAAGAAGTTTTGAAGGTTGATTTATTCATGACAGAAGAAGACATTCATTTTTAGGTAAGGTTATTTACAAAATTGACTACTGTATGATTTGTAACTGTGCTTTTCAGGACCTTTGTAACATTTCTTTGGGAACTGTCTAAAAGTTGTAGTTGATCTAATTTGGCCTAAGTAAGTTACAGTAAACTAATTTGACTTGAAATTAAAAAAAATAAAATAACAAAAACATACTTTCTACGGAAATGTTCTTGTCTTTATGTTTTATATTGGTACTGGAAAGGACAGTGCATCATGTTTTACATTTTATTTGCTTATTTTAAGTAAACCATTTGTATCTACTTTTAAAGTTTTCTATTTGTATCAAAGAACATTGTGATACAATAAAACCCAGTCGTGTGCTCATTTCGCTATATGTGTTCATTGAAAATGCCTGATTAATCATTTTAAGGAAAGGTAAACAAAATTAAGATTTAAAATTTAATTGACATTTGGAGATTATGGAGCTTTTATGATGATTTTTTGCTATTTATTTGTTACAAAGGAAATGTTGAGCTATATTGATTGCTGCATTGTCATCATTTTTCAAAAACTTAAATGCATCCAATTATTTGACCATTTTGAAAGTTATCTACATAAAACTTGAACATGAATACTTTCTTAACTTGTCAAGGTACAGTTGTTAGACAAAGGGGCATAATTCTGAAAGCTATATTTTGGAGTTCTGCCCTTTCTTACTGAAAAGTTACACCACATAAGGTGCTCTTGTTTTTAAACTGCTATACCATATTATCAAGGGGCAGGACGTGAAGTGGTTGCACACTTGGTTCAAGCGAGCGAATTGGTTGCAAACTTGACAAAATGTCGAACACGGTGTGATTTCTTGAAACGGGCGAACGAATTTTTGCCAGGCAAGTGGGTTTCTTTGTTATTTTGAAGTTCATTAGTATGTCTATTCCATAATACAATATATATGCCACATTGGTTTAAGGTTTCAGCATCCCAGATTCTGTTTTGACGAAGTTATTGAAGATATAAACTGATCATGTAGATATTTTGAAATTTGACATGTGACTGTTCAGGTCGGTTTTTCTCCTAATTTATTCCAGGCTGTCCAGCGTCCCTAAAATTCCTAAAAAATCCTAATTTTTTTCAGTTTGGCTAAAATTCCTAAAAAAATGAAAAATTCAAAGGGAATTCCTAAAAAAGCCCTATTTTTTCACTTAAATTCCTATTTTTTTCATCTTTTGTGATAAATATATCGCGAAACAACCATGTTTCAATCACAACTTAAATTCGAACACAGTCAGTGGAGCTGATGTCATGTCTGACTAAATTGCATAAAGTCACATGTTGTATTTACTTCAACTCCTGCAGAAATGCCATACTTGATTAATTACCAGATGTTATCAGAAAAATAATAAGAAACTGTTTGTTTGAAATAGAACAATGAAAATTGTTTAAAATTGTGATAAAAAATTTTCCAAGGAAGTTACATTTTTATTGGCTACAGTCTCAGTTTTACCATTTACCTCAGTCTTAGGTGTATTTAAAGCAACTGTTTACATTATGAACCACTAAATTTCATCAAACTTTATGTAGGGGTCCTTATTAATAAAATCTTAATTTGTAATCAAGTTATTTTCAAGTGATGACTGTAGAACAGATCTTTGGTAATTGATACCAGCTGGCAGATCTAGACAAGTTTCCATTGCTAATTATAAAGTGGGTAAGGTAAACTGGCAGTAATGATTGGATGCGTTAACCATTTTGCTTCCCAATTAGGGTACTAAGAAGTGACATATTCAGCTGTCCGTTTTGTACACATTAACATGTACTGAACATATGTTATAACATATAGTGCAAGTTTTTTTAAAATCTGGAAAAAAACTGTTGAAAATCATTCAAAACACTGACACTGTTGTGAAATTTCTACAATTTTAGTAGCCTGATTTATCTTGAACAAATTCTTCATAGGTGTATACCCTGCTGTTTGAATTTAAGTTTTAATATTCCTGGGAATGACTTGAGTGGGTCATACTGTTTTTTATTGTTTTTTTAAATAAGATCAAGACTTGTTGAAAAAAGTACCAACCTTAAAATGAATAAATGTTGATAATAAATGCATTTATAGCTAAAATAAATCTAAAGCATAATTTCCCCCTCCATTTATTATTGGCTAATCATAGCTTAACTAATTGAATATTGGATGTTCCGGGATACTTATAACTTTGAAAATGTTTTCATTCTAGTTATGTACATTTTTTGTATTAATGTAGTTTTTCAGCTCTTTTTAAAGGCAGTGAACCAGTGAATCCATTTCTTCACTGGTGACTATGGAACACTGGTAACACCTTTGCTATAACCCAACTAGAGCATTATTTGTGAGTTACTTTTGTGTCAAATATCCAAAGTTGAGCCCATACCATGGTCTTTGAGCCCTAAAATTTCTTTTATTTACCCTAAAATTCCTAATTTTAGCCCTAATTTTTTTTAAAAATTGCCCTAAAATTTGCCCTAATTTTTTGTCAGAATGTGCTGGACAGCCTGTTATTCGAATTTATAAGTTTTGAACTGCATTTAACAATAACAAAATATGTTTCTGTCAAAGCTGTACCAATGGTTTAGTTCGAAAGTCCGAAGATAACGTTCAATACACAAAAATATCTTGTTCAAGCACATATTGGTTGCAGACTTATACTTCAAGCATTTTTGGTTGCAAACTTTTGTGTCAATAATGTGGCATGCATAGTTTAAACGGGATTTACTAATCATTTTTTTTTAATAATTAGCAATATTATACCCTTTTATCTAATAAGAAATATATATACAAATTGTGCATGCGTGCAGATATATCCTAACACAGGGTCTTTCAAATAGATATATAACACAATATGCTAAATTGAAGTTCAGTTGTGTTGATCTTCATCATTTTTTCTCCTCGATATACTTTTTTTTTACAAAGTCTTAGGACTTTTTTATATCTTGGCATGACTAACTGTAAAGGAAAAGAAGAAGAAAATAGCAAAAAACAGCTTTCATTATTGTTCTTTTTTGAGATTTGAAATAAATTTGATTATATAGTAGTTACATTGACACAAGG